GGTGTACGTTCACGTGGTTGCGTTCACCCGCATAAAAAGATTTTGCACAAAGTCGGGGCAGCTGCACGACGCGGTCTTCGACTTTGTATTGTGGCTTGCCGACCCACCGCCACTTGTGTACTTTCATTTACGGTCTGTAACTTCACTCCTTGAATGGTGTTTCACTGACTGATCTTTTATTTCATCTGTTTTTTATCGGTCATATGTGTGACATTTTTCTTAGTGCAATAAAATTGACCTTTTCATAAATGATTGTGGAAAAAAATTTCTAGTTGTGTTTTGATTAAGCGTTCTTGTTTAAGAGGCAACACTGCTTTTAGAGCTTTTTTTTATATAAGTTGATTCAATGCAAATTAAATTTACATAGCTTATCTGCCATTACAATCTACGACGAATATGTACTTGGTTCTGACGTAACCTAATTAGTTTTGTTAGTATTGAAAATTTAATTTGCAAAGTTTATGGGAAGGATTAAGACAAATTGAAATACTGAAATAAGAAAAAAAAAACATATATCACTGAACTGAAAGGTATGTGGAATACAATAAGACATAAATGAAAGCCCTAGGATGATTTATGAAAGTTTTAGAACACTTTTGAACTCTCCAGTTTCAAAATGATTTATTGCAAGATGCCCAGAAGGCACCTAAAAAAGGCCTGATGCCTTATTTATTATATTTGTACCCTTTATTGCATATGTCACACATACACCTACCAGAGAAAGAAAAACAAATATGAAGGCTAGATATGTGCAAGTGGAGATATGGCTTCCATAAAATAGTAAAGGGTGTAAATAGTTCACTCAGAAATAATATTAAAAAAGCATCCACTGACCCATTTTACTTCCTTTCCAAGACAACATTTCAAGATAGAAGACTTATTTAATGAAAATTGTTCAGGACAAGACGATAAGTGGCTGCCAATCTTCAAAAACCACAATTAAAAAAAAAATGTTTTCTTGGTATATTTTTGCCCCAAAGAGAAGTGTCTCCCCTTAATTCACATCAAATAGAAAATATTTGTTTTTGAAAAATGTTCTTATTCAATACTCTTCATATTCGAAAATATTTGATTTGATTCGTAACCTTTATTATTCTATTCACTTTGAATTTTGATATTCGCACACCTCTAGTAAGAAAGCTTTTCTAAAACTCTGAATGCTAAAGTGAAGGTTGGGGCATGGGAGTCCTAAAGTAAATTACCGGCTTTTAAACCCTGGATTTTGCCAACCCTTCGTTTTGCTAGCATTGTTTGGGAGCCATTTACATGTCGAAACTTTTATAGTCTAGAAAGAACTCAAAACAACATTGTTTGCTGCATATACAACAGCTACAGGTCAACAGAGACTGTTACGAACCTCAAAGAGCAAACTTCAACAGTATCCAAACCAAGTTGGCAATAAATAGAATAGAACTTTGTTTTCATATATTTCATGGGCACTATGTGAACCATAGTGCCCGTGAAATATATGAAAACAAAGCCCTATTCTATTTATTGCCAACTTGTTCAAAATTAATTAAGGTAACTGAGCCTACGCTGCCCAGAACTAAACACAACTAGCATATTCAGCCATGCTGGTACTCAGCAGGCAATTTCAAAGAGAAATTTTTTGTCAGATGTATAGATCAATGGAATAGGCTCCCAGCAAGCATCATAAATTGCAACAATGTTATATCTTTCAAAAGTTAAACGAAAGCCTTTCTGCGCTCAAAAAATATTTTTGTTATTTACACTAAGCACATTTGTACCAACCCTGCCCTGGCCTCATGGCTGGTAGTACATATAAATAAGAATAGGTAAGCATGGACAATAATGCTCAATTATATAACAAAAACGCGGCAGCTATTCGCAACTCCAGCCCGCCGCTCACTTTCTCGCGGATGAACGAAGAATCGGAGAAGCGAGGACGGCGGCGGCGGCGCGGAGATGGTGGTAGGGACTGTCTGCTTTGGCTAGACATGATGCCTTGGTGCTGCTATTACTGCGTGGTTCTGGTTGGCGTGTTCATGCGTGAAGCAATTTTAATGAAAAAAATGAGTGTTAAAATAGGAATTCTTGTGTTCTGCGCATCGCAGCAGAGTTGCACGAAGGGCCAAGTATGTCTAATTTTATTAGACTTTTCATATAACGCATACTCTGCGGAGTTCTGGTCTTGTGGTCGCCAGCTCAACCTGTGCTCAATGTGATGGCAAAAGCTCCCGCTTGTAGTGTACAGCTCTAGCGTACGGCCTACAAAATGTTCATTTTTTGCCCCAAGTAGGAAAAAACTAGTTGCGCAAAGGTATGTTGAGCTCTAGAAATCAGGAATGCATTCGCGTTTTAAGGCCGTTACAAGGAACATGAACATTTGCTCCAAGCACTTTCAAAACACAGAATACGCATACTTTCTTTAAAGGGAAGCTGAAACACTTCTTGAAAAAAACGAGTTAGAGGTGAATTCTGGCGTATTTTTATCCCGTGAATCTGAATATCACTTTTGTTTTCCCTGAAGATGCAACTAAAAGCGAGAAAAAGCGAAAAAACATTCGACCAGTCGTGACGTCATAGTAGGATATTCGGGCCGCCAAGCGCGTGTCGCTCGTGTGTTCAGCGCGTGCAACGCAAGCTTGCCAGGTATATTTCCCCGCACTGACACCAGTCGTGACGTCTCTTTCTGACCTTTCTGAAAATAGCAAGAGTGCGCGTGCATAGCTTTGACAGGCACTGAAGATGCGCGAGAGCAGATATTCCGAAGGCTCCTAGTGTGACGTCACGCCCCGGGAAGGAGGGGCTTCGGCGGTACTTTAAAAATTAATTTCTGAAGCCTCCGTGCACCAAATTGAAAAATAATCTTGATATTCCTCATCCTGGAGGTAGAATGAAGGCCATTGAAATGTTTTTTCTCAAATAGAGAACCGCTTCAGTTTCCCTTTAAGGTAATCCCAAAGGCAAATAAAGAACTGCCCGAAGCTTTTTTCAGCGTGTCTGTGCGCACACGCTGAAAATTATGCTTCAAAGGCACAGCGCGAGCTTCCGTTGCAATGCTGCACAATACGGCAGCCTGTGGTCACGTTATGCTAAAACTTCCTATTAGTAACCATAGCGCAGTTTGATCACATGTTGCAATACACTAAAACCGCGACGGTGAGCTGCGAGTTGTGAGCCTGCGACACAAAGACATCAATACTGTGAATGCAGCTCTTCCGGAGCTTGACAGTCACCGTGCGCAGCTCACTTTTAAAAGCACTAATGGCCAGGCAAAGCGCAGACACCACAGCATCTTCATCACCCTCAAAATTATTTTGCCACAAACAGTGACGCGACCAGTGCCCAAAATGCGCTCGTCCTCCACAAAGCTTCGTAAGTTGAAGTTTCCGCAACTTTTAAATATCAACCTGCTCGTTTTCCTAACACACATCAACATCTTTGTCCCCTGTAATATGCTCCTGCCCTGACCGCTTCGCATTTGTAGACAAAAATTATTTTTAGCTCACTGAACAGTGTCAGCGAGCAGGCACACAGGAAATCCTGGAGAATCTATCCCCATCTCTTCCGCCATCTTGGAACTACCATCTCGAGTTGTGAATAATCCAAGCAAGTGCCGACCACAAGAACCCCTACGCGGGAAAAGCGGGAACAATTATTTAACCATGGGGGCAAAAAATCCTTTAGAGAAAAGATAACCTCGTAAATCAAATTTTTCAATTTTTTTTTTTTTTCAAAATAGTTAGGTTTTTGTTTATTAACTTCCAAAGAATGGTTTCAGAAACTTTAATTTATAAACATGCAGGATTTATCTCACAATAAATTATTTTCAAGATGTCGGCAGCCCTCCGAGTCAACAGGAAGCAAGTTTGTAGCGTTTTTTATTTAGCGCTGCTTCATACTCGTTTAACACAGCCAGAGAATCTCACCCACATTGGAAGCACCAATTACTCCAGATTTAGCCCGTACAAGCTTTCCAAGTTCAAAAGCATCAATGGCCAAAAGAACCCTATACATTCAAACAGAAAAAATCCTGAAAATTTGGTATGAGGAATCTTAATTCGTTGAGACCCAAAACAAGGTTTACGATTGGTCCTGCTCGCGGTGACGTGATCACCCCCTTTCACAGTATGTTCCACTTCAGATCATATTCCTGATTTGCTGCTCTTAATATGATTTGCCTCTTAGTTCTTGCCACTTTATCTGTCAAGGAATGCCTGCTACAAAAGTTAGCTTGCGTACAAACGACACAAACTGGTAGCTATTGCCAGGGGAACAAGGAAGTCTCAAAGAGGAAGGTGCTAACAATGCTCCAGGTGAATTTTGCCTACCTCGGACTCATAGAAAAGAAGGAAACCTCAAGTTGAAACTTCAAATGCATTTTTCTCAGTTTCACTTTTTGGCAGGAAATGTGGTATGAGGAAATGTATCATTTGACATTTTGAAAGTGTAAAGATTTCATTCAGTGGTGTCCTGGACTGAAATTTCCTGAGTAACAAGTTAAGGTACTCATAATCTGAAAAGGCTAAATTGTTCGTAACAAAAAGTGACTATTTTAAAACACAGAAATTCGTTAAAATCTTTTGTTCTTTTTGGGTGTTATTGCTTTTCTCTAAAATTGCATTTTCTACAATTAATTTTTATCCTAACTTGCACTATGGGTATTCTACTTCCCATTAAACCAAACATTTTGGGGATTGCAGTTAATATATTTTTAAATACATTTCCTAATAAAGAAACTTTTTTCTGGAACTTGTTAAGCACAGTATATTGTAGAATTAGCCTAAAAGACTGAAATTTTAGGTGTCATCAATCCTAAAGGGGTTCAATTCACCCTGAAAGTTTGAATCAATTTGAGAAACAGTTCAAAGTTGACCCTCCCAGGCCATGTAGCCCCTTAACTCGTCTAAAGTGAATATCATCTGTGGCACGCCACTGCAGTACTACGACAAAAAAGCTGCTCATGAATGGCACAGGAGCAAGAGCTTGGGAGAAAAAACATGCTTAAAAAGAGGCAAGTGAGAAAGAAGCCCCACCCCATCACTTCATCTTGTTCGACAAGCGAATCCAGGAGTGGAGGTGCTGGTGAGTTGGCTGCCCTCATCGCCCGGATGTAGTCCTGCAAAACAAAAACCACTTTAATGTTTTGGTATAAATTGTGCAACTTTGTGGCCAGTAAAAATCCAAAACCTCAGTGACTGTGCAGCTGACTACACTAAAGCGCAGCTAGGTTGTATCCCAAAATATACCGCTCTCAACGCGTTCCTCATACAAAAACAAGACAAGAAATTCATGCCAGAAGAGATCTTGTAATTGTGGCATCAACATATATTTTTTCTATCCGTTCGAAGTCTGCCTGCAAGGGGCCACGAAAAGATTTCGGTGCCAATTTAATAATGACATATAATCATAATACTAATAATAACATTGTCTATTTTCTATTTGTACAAATGGTGGGGAAAGAGGAAAAAAGCTTCAAAATGAAGCTTGACAAGTCCTCGGACCAGTAAGCAGCTGGTGGGCCAACAGTTTGTACAACGGATGAGCAAAAGCAAATGCGCACAAAAGTGTTAAATTATAGTGATTGAAGTAACAGTAGAAAATCACTACTGTAACCACGATAACAACAAAAAAGGTTAGATCATGGTCAAGCATGTTAACAATGTTCAAAGTCTGTTTAATTTTGTAAAAACGTACGACATATAACTTTAGTAGATATGGTACCCAGATTTACCATACGTATTTGCTCGAGTAATAGCCACACTTCTTATGATCGAAGCCTGTGGGCCTGCTTTCCCGCAGAGCACGGGGATAGCGAATCACTGCGATCGGCAGAAAAATGGCAGCGATTTATGGGACAAAGATGACGTCTTCATGTGCGATTGCTATCTGCTCAGATTGCATTTTTCCCGCCCTTGTTATTCGCTGCGTTTCTTATGCAGAATGCAATGATTTGCTATATTTGCGCTCTGCAGGAAAGTTGACTGAAGGGCTTTGTTCATAAGTGTGTTTATTACTCGAGCAAATACGGTATGTTACTGTTTCCTAGGTGATTTAAGGGGAGATGTGGGTAAAAAAACGGCAATATTTTGCAAAAATGTGTGATTTTAGGTTTTATAGTGTTTTATTATTTTTGAATCCTTAAAAATATTTAGTGCCAGTTATGATTGCAAAATTGGTCAAATACGCATTTTGAAGACCTCTAGGCAACCCAGAATGGCATGAATTTGAGCCATTTTTCTCTGCGTAGTTCTTCAAATTGTAACATAGCCCGCCATCACATTTATGTTGACAAGTAGGCCTAGCCAACTCCTCTCCATTGCAGTCTTCTGTAGCTGCAATTTCTCACGGAAATTTAGTAACAAAATATTATTTTGCACACCGCGAAAGAGTATAGCTACAAATCTATGGTAACATTCGAATGCATTTTTCTTTTTATGCAATTTTGGGGCATCTTCACAGTGTGTGCACAAGAATTTCTGTTCTTAATATTGTTTTATCACAACCAAATTTTGCATGGATATACCTTACAATATATAGAACGCAACTATCTAGGTTTGGTGGGTGACCACCCGCCCCGCAACTCGCAGGACTGTCCCGCGTTGAGGGCTCACGTCCCGCGAGAAATTCCCAGATCTTCAAAATGTCCCACACTTCACAGTGTCGTAAAATTCACTCCGCAATTCATAATGCTGCCGAAAAACGGGGCACGAGTAAGCGCGGAGGTCGCTGGCAATCATGTGAATCGAAATGGTACGCCATTTGCTATCCAAGCATTGCGGGAAGGGACCGTCGTTCTTGCAGGAGAACCAATGTGCATGCACATTGGTTCTCCTGCCTCTCCCTATGGTGGCAAAATATTGTTAAGAAAAATTGCTTGCTAAAAGTTTGAATATAAAATATTGTAAATATTTTCAAATTGCTCTCTCTGTCAATGCGAAAGGGTTGCTGTTGATTTTTTTTTTTTTTTTAGTGAAGATAGCCACATTTGCAAAAGTCGAAAAAGAACATGTTAAAAATTTGTGTAGGACCATGTTGATAAAAGTAAGTGTTGACAGGAAACAATAACCCGAAAAGATTTACTGTTTCTTATTTCCATATGATGCATTGAGTTCTGATACCCTCGATTTTTATGTTTTTACCTTCAACACATTTAATAACATATCTGGCATTAAAAAAAAATATATCACTTGGAGTGGAAATTATTTGAACTTAATTGCAGCATAAAATTAGCAGGTGTATAAACAGTACAGAATAATAAATGTGTTAAAAGAGCCTCGGTTCGTTGTGTGCCTACTAATAAATTTCCCGTACTTCCCTTCCCCTTCTTCCCTCCCCGCCCCCCGTGTCCCGCATTTCGCTAGCAGGAAGGTGGCCACCCTAAGGTTTGGTTAGAAGGTTTTTTTCAATTATTGTTATGAAAAATTTAAGAAACATTTGTTAGCCCCTTGAAATAGCATTCTTGCTATTTTTAATTATTTTAAAATAAAAAAAAAGTGACACACACTATTTTTGCTGTTCATTGCACTCAGTGGTTTAAAAAAAGAAAATTAGTATATTTACTTAGGCTTTTTTAAGTTTGTTGCCATGCCTCACATGTGCACAAGAACATGGTACAAGCTATATCAAATCTAACACCACATTTATAAAGAGAAGATTAAGCACCATAAACCGTAAAAATTTAATTGCAATATTGAAAATAATAATAAAAAAAATTTCTTCTGGTGCATGTACCATTAAAAGCCAAAAGACTAAATTTAAAAGGATTTGTTGCCCATAGTTAGATCTTCCTGTGAGAATCATCCAATATTATTTGTGGCAGGTAAGGCGAAAGGGATTATCCTGTTCTAAAGCTGCTAATTTAGTTAAAATGACAGTTCCTTTTCATTTGTTCTTTTTTACAGCGGAGCTGTTAAGGGCTAGGTTCCCGAGGATCGTGTCCGGTACAAAACACTTATCGACAAAAACGACTCTGGACAGCTACCGCCATCTATAAGCGACGGCGGCAAGCACGCAACCAGTATGGTTGTCGCCGTCGCTGGTAGATGGCGCCAACCTTTCCAGCTATCATAGAAGAATGGATAGTTGGGCGGCGCATCGGTGGGAATTTATTGTAGGAAACAGCACGAAAAACAGACGACGACAAAGAAGAAGCACAAGTAACGAGCGCAGCGCTCGTCACGTGTGTTTTTTCGTCCTCGTCTGTTTTGCGTGTTGTTTCCTACGCTCTTATCAGTTTCGGTTCGAACTCAGGATGGGTCAGCCGCATGCCCTTTCGGGGAAAGAAGACTGGCTGCAGAAGGAGCGGCGACGTGTGCAGCAGTGCCAATGGGTCCATAATCACTGCAAAGCTGCTGTCGCCTCGACTTCCACTGCATCAAGCGCTTCAGATTCCCTAGCCAAAGAAGAGCACATCGCTCGCCTGGAAAGCCTCCGCCGAGAATAGAATCAGCGATGTAAAGGGCGCTGGTAGGCAAACACCACGGACGACGATCGTGCCACAAAGGCCAAGCGCAAGCGCGAGGCCTGGGACGACTGCACTCTACGCCGGCTGAACAGTTCCCGGGCGCGACGGCGATGTTCCGGAGGGAGTTTGTGGATTACCCGTTTGGCGTCACGTGCATCGCGTGCGACCGACTCTGGGTCGCCGGAGACGTATCCACGATTGATGGCGTGTCGGACGAGAAAAAGAGGAAAACGGGTGCATGTGCGTTGCGACAGTGTATCAAGCACAGCTCCACTGGTCTTCCTTCTTCACGAGAGTGGAAAGGCTGAACATTTTTGATATTGATGCATTGTCTATAATCATACAGGGTATGCATTTTAAAATTTTGAGATTATTCAACATTGTCTTGGTATGGAAATCATAAGGTGCATAACAGATCACTCTCACCATTTTTTTCTAAAGCAAGTAAATATAATCAAGATTGAATACGATGGTTATATGCCAGATGAGGTTGCAGTAACTTAGCTGAGAACAAAATAAACAATTGTAAATTAATATTTTTGTGTCATTTGGAAGGGTGGAGCTGTGGCGGTATGCCAAACAGACTACAAGTGACAATTTTGAGACAAGGTAATTTATGTGACTATACCATGACATACTTTAAAAAAATACAACACCAAGTGTTTTAAAATTATTAAAAACCTCCATTGGACTTAATTAAGTCAAATAGTATAGGTCTGTTGACAGAGACACATTTATTTTTCTAACAAAAGATGGCTCGTCTTTTATAAGTGTTTGTGCTCAATCCATTATCTTGTGCCCAAGCCCCCAACCTTAATAAAGTACCCTTAGCTGCATTAAAGAAAAGCTGAAGCGGTGGCAGAACATTGCAGTGGCAGAACGGCGACCCTGTCTCATCACCCGTCTCATCTCGGGGGAAGCTTTCCCATCGCCCGAGGAGGGGCTCTTTACCAGAGCCGGTTATACTATCCCTTCAAACAACCTCAGTGAACAATGCAGAGCCTGCACGATCACGAGTCCAGCAGCTGCCAAGGATGAAGGCCGATCACTGAAAGTTGGGTGAGTGGGTTATGTATAGTTATGAAGAGGGAAACAGTGCCAAAAGTATAGAGGAAAGAATGAGGAACACACAGGTCAGCGCTCATTCTTTGTTCTCCAGACTTTTGGCGCTGTTTCCCTCTTCGTGAAGGCCGATGTGTGGCCGATGTGTGCCCAATTTGTCCTCTGATGACCGTTTTAGGGAGATTCACGCCAATTGGGACTGACGCGTCCCGTTAACACCACTCAATTTATTGTCAACGTTTTACGTTACAATAACTAGCAGCCAGTTTGTTCCTGCACGTACGAAGCCGGCTATGTTGCGTCAGTACCCTTCAGCACAAGCGATTCCTCGTGTCTGCCCGTATTACTGCAAGGGTAATTCTTCTTTGCCAATGGCGGGAACGCATACTTTGTCACATCGAGGCTCCTCTGGACATATGGCCCTTTAGGGAGCACCGAAAGATATAGAAAAGTCAGAAGCCAAACCCGATTAACGAGAACGGAAGCCTCGGAATCCAACTACTCCCGCAAGCGATGCATCAAGCGAGAGTCGAGATGGTCCTTTCGTGACATATCACGCATGACTAGCCAATGGCGTGCCGCTGCGGCAATCGCTTCCATTTTCTTTGCTTTTGTTTTGTGTTTAGCGATTATTTTGGGTCAAACGGTCGCAATATTTGGACCCAGCAGGCACAAACACGTCAGAATCAAACATTATTTCTTTTTTTCATTCGAACAGCTCTTCTGCTTTACTCTAAAGGGGCCCTGCAAACATATTTAAACGCCTACCTTTCTTGCGGTTTCCACGTCTCATGGGGTTCGGGCAAGCCATCGGGCACAGAGAGAGTAACTAAATATCAGTGCATCATATTTTAACCGGACGAAGCGGAAACCTCCTCCACCGACAGGGGCGACCCGCGGTACCGAAAGCGCGTGATATGTGACGTCTTTGGTCCTGGGCTTCCTACTGGTCAGAGTCGCTAAAAGCTTCCTTATAGTCAAAACACAAAATATAAGTGGCGTGAAACGTTTAAATTATTTATAAAAGTAGTTTTTGTTCAGTATTTCAGATCAGAAAAGAAACAAATGTAGTTTATAAAGTACAGAAACAACAAATGACCCGTCGACATACCCGCCACCAAGCGGTGGAAAAAGCGGCGCACTAGAAAGGAATAGTGGGATCAGGCGCTGCCACGGAAAAGTCCCGGATGTACGCTGCAGCGCTGTGGTCGTATGGACTAGAGGATCCGACCGGCTCCGAGCGTTCCCAAGGCTTCGGCGAGCAGCTTTGTCGTGCGGTTTGGCCGTTTCCCGGTATGGCAGCGCGAAGTGGCTCCCTTTCTGAACTGATCTTTACCCCGTGTTTGCTGTCGTTTGTGGCCAATGAAGTGTCATGCCAAATTAGTGTTTAATCGCGCAGCAAATGCAATGAGAGCCGCTCTGGTCGCCTGCTGCATACAGCCTATCCAGAACATGCTTTAGTGGCGCCCTCTCGAGCCGTCGACACGGAGTGTGGCAGCCGTGAGCGCTCGTGGTGCTCACTACCCCTCCTCTAGTTCACGGCCACTCAAGAGACCAAGGAAGTCATGAAGGAGGTTATTTTTTGCTTGTTTTTGTAATCTTAATTTGCCTATAACTTTTAAAAGGAAGCGAAATTCGACAAAAGAAAAGTTTTATTAACTTACTACGTTCAGTGCTCTCAGGTTCGGTACAAATTAAAAATCAGTAAAAGAGCCCATGTAGGGCTCCTTTACCAAATGATACCACGGCCCTGTTCTCATGGTGTGAAGCACCCAAAAGTTTTGAAGCTGCTGCCCTGTCCCACCTTCGCAATGTGAAACGTAACTTCTGCTGACTAAAATTACAGTTCATCGATCATCTCAGGAAAATAGCATTGCTTTAGTGCAGTTAGAGTGCTAAAGCAATCAATTTCAATGCTTTAGTACATGTTAGTGAAGTCAAGGCTCATTAATGTTCCTTTGTAAGTTCGAGCTTCCCAATAATTCTAACTAATTGGCACATTCGAAAAGGGTTGCATACTAAAAATTCCAAACTAAAACCACACCTTTATGCATACATTGTAATCATTTGAATTTCAAGTCGCCATCTAACACCACGGCAAAATGCGAGCAATCACTTTTACAAGCAAATAAAAATGGCCCAGCCTCTCACAGAAATGTTCTTCACTAAATGGCACGACATACTACCCACTGGAAAGATACAGCCACACATCCATCCGCAAAAGTAGCAAATGTGGCAGCATATTTGCTCTAAAAAGACCAAAAAAACAGTCATGCCGCGAATGAAATTTTAAAATGAGTATTTGATATATTTGATAAAATTAGCCCTATATGTATTTTCAATCACTCGAAATCCACTTGCTCAGCACAGTGTCTCAAAAACACCCACCTTAAGTACGTTGATTTCCCGCCACTGCTCCCGAATCTCGAGCTGAAATTCGTTGAGCCGCTGCTGTTGGGATTGAACCAGAGCTCGGAGTTCCTTGACACAATTGTGGTCCTTTGACAAAAAGAAAGAAGAGAATGCATCTCCTTAGTCCTGATGAACAAAAAAATATAGTTAAATCCACTTCTCAGGATGTCTAACCAAACCCCGTTGTACCATGTTAACCTGGAGCTGACACAAAATTAGTTCTATAGGAGACCTCAAGTGACAACACCATTCAAAACTTATGGACAAAATATATCGTACAGCTCACGAAGAAGGCATGGTCACAGAGGTACAAAATTAAAGCAAGGATGACTATCGCTGATGCCATAGAAAGTTTTGTTACTTTCATAGGATGGCTACAAAAGTCACCTCATTTGAAGCCCGTTGCAAATACAGTAAACTTGCTCGAGTAAAACTCACTTGAGTAACAAATGTAAAATTATTTCAGCCTTTGCTAAACACCTTTGGTAACAATAAAATCCCCTTACAGTCCCAAGCAAGAGAGTCCCCACTAGGCCCAAATTCGCTAAATCAGATCAGTGAGTCCAAATCAGATCAGTGAGCCCAAGCAGTTAACCCTGATTGTCCAAGTTATGCGTTCATAAAGCAGCAGATGATGCACAAAATACTTTACTTTTACTGGCATGTAAGCTGAAGGAATACGGTTACGTTCAGAGCCACGAAGATATTTTCCAGATTCTCTCTTTATACAAGTAGTTTTTTCTGCTGTCCATGGTAGACAATAGGAAACGGTGGTGCGGGCAAACAAGGGTAAGTCCACACACTTCCCGAAATTTTCCCAGAACAATCCCCTCCCCACCCACCACTAACCACGTGCGGCATTCGCAAGAGGTGGCAAAAGTCAAAAAGAGATATTGCCTTCATTGGTGGCAATTCCATTCGATTTTCATACTACTGTGATGAAATAGCAAAGGGGATTTCTATTGTCATTGGTCCTGCTTGGGGAACAAAAATGGATGGACCAGGCTCTACCCTGAGGCCACTCTGGAAAGGAAGTGGGGTTTCTAGTGACACCCCTGTAAAAAAGGCCGAGATCATAGCGTGTCGATTGGTTGCCATGTCAGCACATTAGAAAAACCTGCTGATTTGCACTCCTCATGTTTGACAGCAACTCCATGAAATCTGCATAACTGCTTCACCAGTCAGCTTTAAGGCGGTCGTGGGGTGCAACGATAGCTGTTTAATGAAACAAGAAAAGCCTGCATTCCAATTTCATAATAAACAGAAAATAACGGGGACCTCAAGGCTGCCACTATGAGCTGCAGGTCAAAAACAGGCCAGGGCTTTGATGACATTGCTAGGGTCATCGTTACAGCACCCCAACTTCTCAGGCACAAGTATGTCCGAGGAATCTGATCTGGTATGAAGAAACAGCCAGAGGATGTTCCCACCGGCTAGTTGTGTATCGGATGGCCGGAGAAGCGACCGTTAGCTTTAAGCCCTGGGGAATGGCAAAGTACATAGACTTCTATGAGAATGAGTGCAATGGCGCATCATAAGGGGCTTGGGACAGGACAGGAGGACACACCAGCTGTCAGCTCCATTAGGAAATTCAATTCGATCATCTGTAAATAGTGCACACTAGCTTCAAGTTAGTAAATCGCATTCAATCTAACTCAGTTTCTCAGAATCTGTTCGTGCACAGGAGATCAAACCGGATGAGTTCTTTAGACTGAACCATCATCCAGCACTACACCTCTAAATGTACTAGAAGGCAAGTAACCCTTGCATTAGACAGCCCGTCACAAGCGGTGAGCTGCCGCAGCTGGTCTAAAACAAGTTCTCTGATGAACTCAAAACTTTTTTCCGAGTGCCTTCGCAAAAACCACCGTCGCTCCTAAAAGTTGTCTGAAATGCCGATTAAGTGCATTAATCACATAATACATTCAAACAAAATCTCTGGCGGATTTAGGAAAGGTTTCTCTGCCAAACTTGCCTTGTTAAAACAAAAGGAATTAATTTTAAACAATATTGAAAAAAGGTTATTAACGCTCAGTGTATTCATAGATTTTTCAAAGGTGTTTGACCGGATCAATCATGACAGAATACTCCAAAAGCTGCATATTTATGGTATTCGTGGCGTTGCGCCAGATATGATTAGAAAAAATCAAATTTGGGGGTTTTACGTGCCAAACACGACGGGCATCTGGCACGCCCCAGCGGAGGACTGAGGATTAATTTGGACCACCTGGGGATCTTTTGACGTGCAACCGAAAGCTTGGTTACATGGTGCCTCCTCTGCAATAAGCATCCGTCAGATTGCGGGCACCTTGGCCGGGATTCGAACCCACCACATGGGGATCCGTAGGCCAGCGCTCTCGCCTCGGAGCCACCGAGGCGGCTTTAGATATGATTAGAAGTTATCTTCGTTATCAATACCAGTGCGTTGAAATAAATAAAAAAAGCAATCAGATCTAAGGCAACAGACTGTTGGCATACCACAAAGGAGCATGCTGGGACCACTTCTTTTCAATCTATACATCAATAACATTGTAAATATTGATAACAATGTATGTCAGTATTTATGCTGATGATACCAATATATTCTTTTCAGGTGATGATACTGATCAGATTCTAAGTAAAGCAAATAATTTTTTGAAAAAGTTAAATGCCTGGACAAATTCAAATTCCTAAAAATAAGTGGCAATAAAACAAAAGCCGTAATATTTAGATCACGAAATACAAACTGTTTCTAAACGTCCAGTGAAAAGACGGTGAGAGTGCAGGCGAGCTGGTGGTAGCTAATCATGTCGTATTACACCTGAGACTGCGGTGGAAGAAATCGGAAGAACTTTCAGTAGAAGGAACAGACACAGAGAACGTCTCAAAAACGTCCCTTCTTTCTAAACGTCCATTCTTTCTCTAGGAACACACTGTATAGATATAGTTGAAAGCGTAAAAGTTCTGGGAATTACATTTAATCAATACATGTCATGGGACGAGACTGTACAACAGAGATGTAAAAAAACTATCAAGAGCTGTAGGTATTATGTACAAATATCGCCACATCGTCCCAATTTCGGTTATGCTTCTTATATATAATTCCCTCTTTTACTCAATATGTAATTATTGCTTCTTAGTATGGGGGAATATGACCGCTACAAACATAAAACTGATAAATACTCTACAAAAAAAAAAAAAAAGAAGCTGTTTGCGTTATATGTAATACTGCGTATAAGAGTCATACTAGTCCATTATTTAGTAGATTGAATATTGTACAGATTCCTAATCAGTATTATTATAAACTTTTTCATGCATTGAAAAGATTCTTTTGCCAGAAAGAAAATGTATTCATGTCAATTTCCAACCCTAGGATGAGAGAGGTTGCCTATGAAACTCGATCTGTAGAAACGTAGTTAGTTCCGCACTCCAGAACATACTATGGTAATCAGATGTTGAAATATACAGTCCCTCTTTTTTTAAATCGCCTGACTGAATTGAATGCAGAAGTTTTGAGTGAAACCCTAAAAAATGTATGTTCCAGGTTTGTGAGAGAGTGCCCCTGGAATTTGTAAACTTGGGTAAATCAATTACTTTTCTCCCCCCTCCCCCACCTAATGTTGTTTATTTGTGTTATAAGTATGCTTGTGAAAAACATGTATATGTACATGTCCTCTTTTCGCTGCTGTGGGGAGGCACAGGCTCGTCAAGCAACAACTGAGCTACTTCTTTCTCAGTCTCCCCTCTCCAAATGGAGAGAAATAAAGGGTTTGAGTTTACCTTCAACTCGTCCTTGGGAATGACGAGGCCGCAGCCTTGCTCGCAAGGCATGGGCCTCCTGGGGTTGTGCTCACAGGCCTCCCGGTGCGATGCCAGGCAGTCCAGTTTCACGATGGCCTCGCAGCCGAACTGGGCGTTGTCGCAGGACATCTGCAGCCGTGCCAGGAGGTTACGCAGGATGCGGGGGACGGGCTTCAGCTGGGCTGCCGTGATCGACTGCCGGTCCACTGGGCATGTCTGCTGTCGTGACAGCCACTGGCGGATGCAGCCCTGGCAGAAAGCGTGCTCGCACTGCGGAGCCTGCGAAAGAGCCGCCGAGACGTTAGGGATGACAAAGTGCGGCCTCGTGTCTCGTAAGCCCCAGGATTGAAGGGGCCGGTGGGCCGGTGCATTGCGCTTCATCAGGTGCAATTTAATACGCCCCTGCTACGCAAGACTACTATAGTCCATCTCACCTTACGATGAACTGCAGCGGACACTACGAGCCATCCCAGCCAATACAGTGCTGCGAACATGTCATGTGACCGCACCCCACACGTCGCTGCGCCCCTCCCGTGGGTCAGATGACACTCGTGCAACATAGGATTGGCTCCAATGGCTCGTAATATCCGCTGCGGCCCATCGCAGGGTGTAACAAAGTATAGCACTGCTAAGAGAGCCACTCATTGGGCCTGTCCCAACAGTCACATGTTAAAGGGGCGGTGCAATGATTTTAACACTGAACGAATGTGCAGCTTTTATTTTTTATATTGTTTACTTCGGCATAAGTAAGAGAAAAAGTGCCACCATATCCCAAAATACTTCTATTTCGCTGCGTAATCGCAAAATAAAGAACGCTTTTTTTCCCAACCTGCGGCCACATGGTGGCCGCAAATGGAACCTGTGGTGTGACGTCATTCGGAGTGGTTTTTGTAAGTGATAGTGTTAGGCAATTGTAAGCTTGATTTAAGGTTAAGTTTAAAAAATCTTGTTGTTTAGGCATGCAGAAACGCTTCAGAAGCCTAATATTGCCGCTAAAAGGGTATGAATTATTTGTGGCGCCATCTACCGCAAGTCAACAAAACCTGCCGTTGCCGTCGTCCGTCGACGCCCGAGGCGCCTACGGCGGCTACACGAGCAACCCGGACGTTTTGTCTGTTTTGTCTTTCCCTCGCTCGACGGAGTGCGTTGGTCGTGGTTCGTAGTATCGTTATTGTTCCTGGTGTCTCGACCTCGACTTCGACTTCGATTGCTCGCCGCGTCGACTGCCGACGTCGCTCAGGCCGTCCGCCCAAGCCGCCATGTTGGTCGGGAATCGGCGGGAGAGCGGGAGAGCGGCGAGCCCGGCGAGCCGGCGAGCGCTGGGGAAACGGAAGCCAGAAGAACCCAACCGGAAACCAACGCCACTCCGAATGACGTCACAGCGAAGCTGGTGCCGCTTCAATGTTGAGTTGAGGGGTGCCAGAGATGTCAATTTCTTTCATTTTTTTAAATGAAAACTAGGGCAAGCAGGAAAGAAAAGTTTTCGGCCCTTCGTTTTATATGTGGCCGGGATCAATTCCCGCAATTAATTAGCCAAAGTCCGCAAATTGTTGCACCGCCCCTTTAAGGGTGCTGGCCCTGACTGGCAAGTCGTACATCAGTCGTACATCACCCCACACGTCGCATAAGCCAACTGTGCAGCCTCGAATATCCCATTCTCCAGCACTCTGTGGGAGTGGTAACTTTTACAGAAATGAATCCAAGACAGAAAAGCTTTTGCACTTGAATACATCACCCATGATGAAGATCGGTGCTAGGTAGAGTTGACATGACCCACCGGCGACCCACGACGCATCTTAAGAAAACAAAAGGCACCCAAGGATGCACGAGTTAAGGGTGACCCATGCTGGTACCAAATAGAAGCCCATGATTGTTATTGAACCTCTAGCAGTCATTCTAGGGACCATAATATGGGTAGCCTTGTTTCGGATAACTTTAAAGTTTAGAGCAATTTTAGTGCTTTGTTCTTACCAAAGTGTTTTGAAGGTGATTTCACTAAAATGTGTTGTAAATGGACATTAGTGATATTCAGGCATTCACTGTACTAACTCGTATATTTTCTAGCACAAAAATAAAATAAAAGCTTTCATATATCAAAGAATACATCATAGCCTTTGTCTCTGTTTGTATGGTTGGCACCCAGTGCAAGGCGGCCCCGAGATAGCTGAGCAAGTTTTCAAAAGCCCGCACAAAGCACCAACAACGAGGCTCCTCACGCCATCTCTTAGCGGCACGAGAAAGCAGTCATAGTGGGTGAATCATTGATGGGTCACAGCGCACCTAAAGATAATGCCCAATGACCCACCGGTTGCCCAATGACCCACCGGTGGGTCACGACGCATATGGATTGAGACTCCAGAAAGAGCTTCTGCAGTGAACGTGTTAAAGGGAAGATGGGGCACTTCTACATTTGAGAAAAAATGCTTGAAGTGCGTTCATTTGGCCTTTAGAATAACAGATATCAAAATTATATTTCAATGCGACGCGCCGGAGAGCCACAAGAGCAATTTCAAAATAGGGCTGAAGCCCCGCCTCCCTAGCCTTGGGCAGCCAAAAGAGCCGTCGATGACGTCACGGACAGCGACTGTCTTTCGCGTTTTTCTCGCGTTTAACAATACTTAGGCAGCAAATGGTTTCGGTATTCGGGTTCATGGGGTAAAAATACACTAGAATTCACTTCTAACTCATTTTTTTCAAGAAGCTCCGTAGCTTCCCTTTAATAAAGCTCTTGTTCACTTGATAAAGCTTATGTTTCCCCAATGTAAACGTGGCACTCCAAGACAAAGTCTACGAACACTGGCCCTTTGACAAGCGGCAAGCCAGTAGTATTACAATATGCTCGATCACGCCGTTATGTTGTGCACAATGAACTCCGAATTGAAAGCCTCTAAACAATCCAAAATGGGGCAGCCCAGTTCCTCCTGAATCGGTATGGGTGCGATAGTGGGTCTATTCAAACAAAAGCCGGGAATCGCCTCCACCTCATCAGAGAACATTAGGACTTAAGTTTTTGTTAGAATATCCTACTCGTAATTAATAAAGATGCTTATTTGAAGCCCGGAATGAGCACACTTCTAAAATAAGAGAAGAATGTGCCAGAACGATCATCTATCACATTTTCTTTGTAAAAACATTCGTACAGTGGAATCAGCTGTTGCTAGTGTCTTGCAAATAAATTTGTGGGAAAAACATTGCACAACCACACATTAGGAAACATCCCACATAGTTTTGGGAAGCTGACTCGCATTTACAAAGCATCATTTGCACTGAGCTGTCATAATAGTTGAAAAACGAGTAATCAGCATCAACAAGAGTTCCTTCCGAGTTTACCAAAAAGAAAAAAATGCACCACCAAAAATTTTGTAAAAAAAAGTATGTCCTATACACCGGAAAATACGGTACTCACATAGAGCATGAGTTTTCTATGAACAAACTTGCGTGAGGAAAGAGCTTTTCGAGCATGTAGGGATATCTACGGTATTCAAGATCTGAAAGCTCTTTAACTCTTTATTGACGAGCAATACAAAAATTGCTATCTTTTAAGTTATTAATGTTTAACAAGATCAAATAAAAAAACAAAACTAAAATTAAAAAAAAAAAAATTGTAGGGTAAATTGTCAAGTTATAGCTTTGTTGCCTGTGGGCAACACCAGGCAAGTCTGAAGTTGGCTCCCTTGCATAACCTCTATGGATCACTATAAAATGTCAATAATATCTGTGCTTATGATAGCCTCAAGTAAAACGGTCACCTGTCAAAAAATATCAGTGACAAGAGAAACACTTATCCATATTTTTCGTCTTTCTACCATACTCGGTCGCAGCGCATTTGCGCACCAAACTTCTTTTTTCTCGTCAACTATGTGCATATCTTTTCACTAGATAGCGGTGTAGTTTCAATCTTCCAAGACTGTTGCCAGACTACTAGACTAAAAAAAGATATATAACTAACTGTCAAACAAACAAAAATCTGGTTTGTTGCCTGTAGGCAACACTTGTCAACAAAGGGTTAAAAGGGAGCTCCGGCATCAACTTGAATGTTTTCAACTAAAACATTTTCTGAAAGAGCACGAGAAACTGAGCCTAGAGTAGCAAGTGAATTTCCCCCAAAATTTTTAATAGTAGAAATACAATATAACCACAACCGAAACTAACCTACAACTTTACTCGTTCGTCATCTTAAGCGCTGTTCACACATTTGCAACCGAGTACGACGGAGAGAGACAAAACCGGTTTTCAAGCCTCTTGCGAAAACTTAGGACCGGATGTACTCCTGCAGAGCTGGTCCCAAAACGTCGCAAGAGGCTTAAAAACCGGTCTCGTCTCTCTACGTACTTACTCGGTCGCAGGTGTGTGAACGGCGCTTTATTGCAACGTCAGGAGTTCTCTAAACATCAGCACAAGGGCAGCGTCAGCCTGTTTCGCCTGGCGTCAGAAACAGTCAGAAGGCCGTCGTGATTGTCTGTGAGAAATAATGGACTATGACTAGGGTTCCGCATTTTCGGTTTTTATTTTTTCGAAGTTCGGCATACTTTTTTCGGTGTTTATTTTAAAATTCAATTTTCGGTGTTTATTTTAAAATTCAATTTTTGGTTTTTTTTGGTGTATATTTATGCCCACAAACGTTTACCGTCATTTTTCGGTGAATATGAAATAAACACCAAAGAAACCCGGATCAGATGATCATTGTAGCTCTGATCTTTGTGATCGCTCAAGGAATAAAAGCAAATACATTGAAAAAGAAATGGACACTTCTGAAAATGTGTGCAACTGTAAAAAAAAAAACAAGAAAAAAAAAAAAAAAAAAAACAAGTACAGACAAGTCAGATATGAAGCCTATGCCCAAAAAACATAAAACTTCACCTTCTGTACATCAGGATTATGTGGTCTTATTATAATAAACACATATGTACAGTCGGGAGCAAAAGTTTGCGGGGCACAGGAGCGCCAGCCAAAACGACTGGCTGCGCCTTCTCTTGGCGCGTTGCCGCTCTCAAGACTCCCGCTTTGTGCATGCGTTTCCCTCCGTGTTCGCAGTCATATTTTTGCCGCTCACTACAATTCGACGTCCACGAGATAACAGAGACTGGCGCAAGGTGCCGCGAAATGTCATCTCTAGCATGCAAGCTCCGTCGCTCATCACGGTGGCTGAGGCAGACGCGCGGCGTGACGCCTGGTAAAGCGGCACCTTGTGCCGGTCCCTGTTATCTTGCGACTGCGAACACGAAAGGAAGTGTATTCTCAAAGAGTGATCTTGAGAGCAGCCGCGCGCCGTCAGAGGG